CGGTAGACCGTCAGGATCTCGAGAGGTTGTGACCCCGGCGTTTTGACGGTGAGCCAAATCGTTTCAGTTGTGCGCGCGAGCCGTCCCTCTTTTTCTGATGCAAAAAGGCCATATTTGACATACACGAGCACACCTCCACCTTCGAGAATGTCCTTCTGAACAGCTCCCAGTCATCGTTGGCAGTTCCCGTAAACAATGAGCCCAGGTCATACCTGTCTAATCGTTAACAAAAGGCTATGGTGGGATCTTCACTTTCCAGTGAAAGCCCAATTGTAATTGATGTATTACACGGCACAGTTGTAGGTTCTCTTTTCTTCCTGCTTTACATAAATGATATTCCGGCAGCAGTTAAACATTCTCAATTATCTATTTATGCCGATGACCTCAAATGTGTATATTCCTTCATTAAATCTACGAGCCTTCATTGCCTGGAGCAAATCCACGCTGACTTTTTTGCCCTCTGAACTTGGAGCTCAAAATGGCTAATGGAATTCTTTCCGTCTAAATGTCGCTATATGTGTTTAAGACCTGAAAGGCTACTCCAACCAGCCGGCTTTTAAAGCAAACCTATGACTGAATGTACCAGCATCATGTATTTAGTTTTAAGCTACACAAAATATCTTGATCTCTCGCCACACGCTGACAGAATTACAGCCAGAGCTGCCCAGATATGTGGCCTTATTTCTCACAATTTCTATCTTCCTTAACTTAAATTGAAACTCTATCGTATGTTTGTACTTCCCATTCTCGAGTATTGTTGCCCATTCTTTGGTTTTATGAATGCTGCTAGTCGTTTTAAAATCGAAAATGTCCGAAGACGTTTTTCTAAAAAACTTTTAGATAGGGAACATCTAAATATCTCCTATTTATACAGATGCCAGCCAATTAACCTAAAATTTTTATGGGTAGGAAGACTATAAGAAGGCTTCTGTCTCCTATTTCGCTGTAATAATAGTTCAAATCTTCTTCGGATTTCAGCAATTATCCCTAGTAGTCGCTCATACAATCGTCGCATAATTTACCCTTCCTGAAATAAAGCTAAGAATTAATAAAATGTTTGTTCTTCCAGTCCTCGAATACTGCTGTCCTTTCTTTGGTTTAATGAACGCCTGCGACCGTACTGAATCGAAAATTTTCAGAAAGTTTTCACACGGAAACTGTTCTCTCATATCTCACCCTGTACCTCTTATACTCAGAGATGTCCGCTGGCGAAAATTAAGTTTTTGTGGGTTAGGAGACTGTAAGCTGGCCTTTGCTTCTGTTTTCTCATTAACTCTAGCTCCAGTCTTCCGCTCATTGACACTCTCACTCCGAGAGATCGGTCTTATGCCATGCACAACTCCTCCATGGTGATTCCGCCGACGTATTGCACTACATCTAAGCGCTCCCTCTATTTTGCTCCCAAATATGCCTTCCTTTGGAATTATCTTCCGCCAGAAAATAGGTCATCGCCTAAGTTACTGGTCTTCAAGTCTAAATTACGCAAAAACTTTACACCCGAAAACATAAAAGCGCTGTTAACGGTCTCATTCCCGAACACTCAGCAACTTGACATCGAGAACGGTCCTCCTGGGATTTAGTGGTAGATCAAGTGGAAACCCCCAATTTTATCATTAGAAACCCCCGTTGTGACGTATCTTCTATCCCCAGCCCACCAGTCCGCCACTACACACAAGACACACACAAGGTGAGGAACTGCGTGAACCGAGAGCGGGCCTCAATCAGCAACCTTCCTATCCACGGCACTTGACGTGTCGGGATAGTCTCGGACACAAGTCACCCGTGCAGCCGAAGCCGCATGGGGACCGAGTCGAGATGCACACTTCCTACTTGCGTGGGAGGCGGCAGTTGAGTGCATGAAGTGTGTGGGGGTTGATGTCTGGTGGGGTGATGGTGTTAGGAAGTAGGGAGTTAGGGAATGTGTGGTGTGACCGGCGGTTGTCTACCGCAGGTCGTCGTGGATGCGCATGTGGCCGAATAGACCCATGCGATGCGTGAAGGCGCGAGGGCAGTGTGGGCAGTGGAGGCGAGTGCGGTGGGTGTAGGTTGGGGCTCCAGGCACTGGTTCGCCGGTCTCTGTGCGATGGATTCGCAAGTGACCGACCAGGCCGATGCGTGAAGTGAAGGTGCGATCGCAGTGAGGGCAGATGTAGTCCTGGCCCTCACGTCTGATGATGGAGGTTGCAGGGCTTGTGCCTGTTGTTGTGTCAGGTGTGGCTGAGGTGAAGTCGTGGGCGACAGACGCCGAAGCGGCCGTCGTTGTGGCAGTGAAGGAAGAAGAGGAGGAGGAAGGGGAGGAGTGAGGGGTGGTATGGTCGGTGGCGTCGATGTCGGCTGGGGAGTGGTTAGTGGGTGCACAAGGTGGTGGATTGGGAGTGGGGCTCGGCGGGGTGGGTGTGTCAAGGCTGCGGTCAATTCCGCTCTCGTGGATGCGCATGTGGCCGAATAGACCCATGCGATGAGAGAAGGTGCGAGGGCAGTGTGGGCAGTGGAGGCGAGTGCGGTGGGTGTAGGTTGGTGCTCCAGGCACTGGTTCGCCAGTCTCTGTGCGATGGATTCGCAAGTGACCGACCAGGCCGATGTGTGAGGTGAAGGTGCGGTCCCAGTGAGGGCAGGCGTAGTCCTGATCCTCATCACTGGAATCGGGAGAGGTGGGGGTGGTGGCGGTTGTTGTGTCGGGGTTGGTGATATGTGAGACGGCAGTCTGAACGGCCGCCGCTGGGGCAGTGGAGAGGGAGGAGGAGGAGGATGGAAGTGGTGGTGCAGAAGGAGTGTCAGAGTTAGTTGGCGGCAGAGAGGACGAGGAAGGTGCGGGCGGGGGGACGATGGCTGGAGCAGTTCGAGAGGTGCAGTTGATCCGAAGATGTCCAAGAAGTCCGATTCATGCCCGGAATGTCCGTTGACATCGAGGATACGTAGGGAGCGGTTGTGCGGCGGCATTGCGTACTGGGCGAGATTGTGATTTGCGGGCTTCGCGTTTCGCTTTGGCGGCAGCGATGCGGTTGGCTTCGTAGATAGCAGCGCCCGTCTTCACTGTTCTTCTCCATGTCGGACGATCGCGGGCGAGCTCTTCCCAGTTGGTCGGGTTGATTTGCAGGCGCTTCAGGGAGGACTTCAGAGTATCCTTGTAACGGCGAATTTGGCCTCCTTGACGACGAGAACCCGTCGCGACGTCTCCGTAGAAGAATCGTTTGGGTAGTCGCTCGTCATCCATGCGCACCAGGTGGCCGCTCCAGCGCAGCTGCATTTGTCTCAGTATGGCGTAGATGCTGAGGATTCCCGTTCGTTCCAGTACTTCCGTGTCGGGGATTCGATCCTGCCAGTTCAGCCTCAGGATGTGACGAAGACAACTGAGATGGAAGTGGTTCAATCGGCGTGCCTGCCTCGTGTACACCGTCCACGTCTCCGCTCCATACAGTAGCGTCGGCAGAATGACGGCCTTGTACATCTTCAGCTTTGTGCTCAGTTGGAGACCGTGGCGATTCCAGACTGTGCTTCGGAGGCGTCCGAAGGCTTGGCTGGCTTTCGAGATTCTGTTGGCGACTTCGTCGTCGATCTTGGTGTTGCGAGATAGGGTACTTCCCAGGTACGGGAAGTTCTCCACCACTTGCAGTTGAGTCCCATTCACGCTAATTTGCGGCGGCGCGTTGGGGGCTGTGGCTAAGTTGGGCGGAGGTTAGTGGATCACCACCGTCTTCTGCGTGTTAATGACCAGACCGAAGTTCTCGCAGGCGGCGGAGAACAGATCGATGCTGCGTTGCATTTCCTCTTCCGAGGTGGTGTTCAGGGCGCAGTCGTCGGCGAAGAGGAGTTCGTGCACGGTGGTTGTGGATACGCGCGATTGGAAGTTCATGCGCCGGTGATTCAGGAGATGACCGTCCGTCCGGTAGTTGATGCGGATTCCAGGGCGTTCGTCGTGGTAGGCGTCCATCAGCATGGCAGAGAACATAAGACTGAAAAGGGTAGGTGCCAGCACACAGCCCTGCTTCACTCCGTTGGTCACTGCGAATGCCTCTGAGACAGCTCCGTTGTCCGTGACTCGCGCCATCATACCGTCGTGCGGCTGACGAACCATCTGAGTGAATCGCTCCGGACAGCGGATTTCTGCATGATCTTCTACAGTCCTTCACGATTCACCGTGTCGAAGGCCTTCGTCAGGTCCACGAAGGTAGAGTATAAGTGGGTCCGCATCTCCTGGCACTTCTCCTGAAGTTGGCGGGCTGCGAAGATCATATCCGTGGTCCCACGATGACGACGGAAGCCGCATTGGCTTTCCGGCAGAAGGCCCTGTTCCAGATGGTTGTTGAGGCGGTTGAGCAGGATGCGAGCGAAGATCTTCCCGGCGATGTTCAGTAGGGAGATGCCGCGGTGGTTGTCGCAGACTTGGCGATTCCCTTTTCGCTTGTATAGGTGCACGATAGTTGCGTCCTTGAAATCTTGCGGGACTTCACCTTGACGCCACATCTCCTGGAAGAGCGCAGTCAGGTGATCCATGAGTTGGGGACCTCCGTGCTTGTAGACCTCAGCAGGGATTGCGTCCGATCCGTATGCTTTCCCGCTGGAGAGCTGCTGCACGGCCCTGATGGTTTCCTGGAGAGATGGCGGGAGTTCGAGGTCGCGTTGGTCTCCACTTGCGGCAAACGCTCGATGGCGGCGTCGGAGATGACGGAAGGGCGGTTGAGGACACCTCGAAAATGCTCGGCCCATCGCTGTAGGATTTGCGTCTTCTCAGTCAGGAGAGTGCTGCCGTCGGCGCTGAGGAGAGGAGCAGTGCCCTTCGTCGGCGGACCGTAGACAGCTTTGATCGCAGAGAAGAAGTTCTTCCATTCGTTGCGGTCCGCGTAGCCTTGGATCTCCTCAGCTTTGCGAGCAGTCCAGGCGTACTGCCTCTCGCGCAGTCATTGCTGAAGCTGTCGGCGACTGCGGTAGAAGGTAGCTTTGTTGTCCTCCGTGGGGTGATCTACATTTGAGCATACATCTCTCATAACCATTAATGCATAAAAGATTTTCTTGTATTTGCGCACATTGAGAACGACCACAGTGGCACAAGTTTTCTTTCTTAAATAAAGCAAACCAAAATGAGATGCGTGGATACGAAGCGCTTCGGCGTTCGACCTGCGAAATTGCTCTCATTCACAGTGAAAATGTAACTTCCAGCGGCGAATTCTAAAATCGGCTTTTGCACGCGATCGCTCATCTGACGCATGACGTTCCCATTATTGCAAATATGCAGACTGAACCTAGAATATTAACGAGTGGTGACAAAGAATAAGATTGTAACATCTGGTCCACTGTCCTCATATTTATCGCCAAGCCTTGCTTAATAAATGCTTGTGAGCATTTACAGAGGGGCCTTCTATCTGTTACGAGGGCGGAAAACCGATCATATATGACTTCTATAGAAGTCGTGGAACTGAACAGATTTCAAAATATGTTTATAAAAAGTCTAAAGCAGACGACAATATTTTCATAAAAATACTACAGGAATTGATATGAACCAAATATGTTTTAGTAGGCCGTTTTTCGAACGGAGGAAACAAAGTGGACCAGACAGGCTGTCGGTGTGTCCGTTCGCGCCAAATAGGTAGGCCCTCTCCGTCTTCTGGGTGAGCGGCGCCCCATATTACCCGATTACAATTAGTCCCATCTGACATGACAAATGTGAAGCTTATCGGCCGGCCCTCTTCATTCTATGGCAAATACCTGTCTGAGATATCCAGAAATTTAAAATCTCGAGGAATCGGGCGGATTTTCGTAAAGGAATCAGAATGCAAGACTTACTCAGAGCCGTGCTTTTATGTTATGAAGAAAATCGAGCCATTAATGTCTGACGAGGTATGCAGACACATCCATATCACTTCTCATCCCAAGGAATGCCCCCTTAAGCGGGAGCTCCCGCTCTGCCACTTTTTTATTCATCGTCTTTCTCTTCGTTTGATGCATTATAAATCTCCTTATTCGTCCAACTGGTTAGCTCGTTTAGTGTAAGGACGCGGACCTCACTTGGTTTTTTAAATTTGTTGCCGTTAGGATTAATTTTAAAATTAATTACTTCAGGTGACCTGCAGCCAAGTCCTTTGATCATGCTTTTTTGGCCGTCAATGCTATAGCTATTTACTCTTGTGTCGACGCCCAGAATCCCTGACGAACGTCCGGCGTATTCTTGGCGGTGATATTTTATCCGTTGTAAAAGCTTGCTTTTATTACCACTGAACTCCCACAACTTCTCAACCTTTTAGTCAGGCGTCCGCTGCAGAGCCTTCGCTGAGAGGGTGTTTCGTGGGCGGAACTTGGGACTAGTGTTAATTAATAAATCATATGAACCAGATTGGCGCCTTCTAAGTATTGAAGAAGGACGGCGCCTTCAAGAGTCGACCAGCCGAATGGCTAACGTTGCCCAGGATAACAAAGTACCCTGTGTTGCTGCCATGCCTCCGCTTCTTGCCGTTAAACTTCAACGGCTCGGTAAAATCCCTCAGCCTATTGTTGAGGCAGCCAAAAAAGTCGATTGCCCAGTAAACTCCGCATCTGCGAAAGAGGCCAACGGGTTCCTTTTGTTGACAAAACTTCCTGACGACCCTACACTTTTTCAGGTAAATTCCTGCCTCACATATGAAAACCAAATTTTTTACTTATCCATTCATACAGTTCGCGCTGAACGGTTAACTGCGTTTCTCTCCAAAGGTGCCCATCGAGCCAACAGCAGAAGAAAAGTCCCGCATCTTCCCTTCTTATGAGGCACAGGCAGCCGATGGTCTCGTTCTAAAAAAGAAAACAGACAAAAATGTCTACTACATTCGCCGATCGGATACCCCTGGATTGCGTTGGAGGGTTGAGTTAGCGCAGAAGGATATAGAAGATGAGCTTTTACAGGATACTGGCCACTAGTTAACTCTTCGCCGACTTTACTGAAGATTTTTCCAAATTAAATTCCGTCACTGTTGCTCGTCTGAGCCAACTCCTGTATAAAAACCAGTTCTTTCATGTAAGCATGCGTTTGCACACTGACTTACAATCGATAAATGTTCGATAACGCATTCTGCTGTATACCGTGTCGAAGGCACAACTTTTAAGTGGATTTGCGCGTCAAGTGGCAGTTAATGTCTTATTCGAGCTAGAAGTACGTTGGTTCGAAGTTTTTTTGTGAAACCATTTTTTTCCCAGAGATATCGGGAACAATGACCTCGCGCAGATCGTAAAATTGGATCCCGAATCCTGAGATCGATCTGCTGTATGTACGGTGCGAGTTCCGTTAGTTGCCCAAGTTGCTACTAACTTCCTGGTTGCCCTGTATCCAGTAAGTGCGCCAGTAAGATCTATGGTCGGAATCACTGCAACTATAAGGTGCGCAGATATGGGCGAATATAGTTTGAAACGATTTCCCTATCATGTTGTTGTGTTGTGAAACCAACACCTGTCACCATGGCCCCGAATAGGACAGTCCGCACTTGTTACGACAAGAGTTTGAGGATGTTCGTGGCCGTCCGCGAAGGGCTTACAGGGTGAGTTAGGTCGCCGTGACTTTCTCGTTGCTAAACTCGTAAGCTGCTGACCTGAAAGCAAGGCCGTTACATCAAGTGAAGTGGCGTGTGCGTATTCACTCTTCGTCTCCCGAGGGTTTGTGAGCGTGGGCTAACAAACAGTGGCCATCAGCCTGGTGTGCGCTGGCGGTTCTTCAGTTCGGCCGTGCAATCCACCGCTGCTCTCCTCGCCTCCGGTCTTCTTGATTCTGTCTTGACACCGGACCTGGATGGGGAGGAGAGTGTGATAGATGCTTCGCAAGTTCACTCTCTAAACTAATTCACGCGCAAGTCACCATGCCTGGTTCATCTTGCTGTGGAGCACACGGTGGACGTCATCGACTACAACGGGCGAACTATCTTTCACTCTTCGCCAGGCCTGTTTACCCATGCGAACGCGTGGAGAGGCGTGCTTATGGATGCAACATCAACTGGACGAAGACTTTTGATGGTGTAGACTATGATGGAATTTCCATGCCATGACCTGGCGTCGGTTAAACATGCGCCAATGAAGAACGATACAAGTGAAAGTTCGCGATCACTAGTCCCTTTTGTGTGTTAGTAAACCTGGAGCAGCCAGAGTTGAATAGACGACATACCGCATGCTGTACTTACTTGTACTTGATACGGCTGCGGTCATGCCTGATCTAGCCGGCCTAGATGATGTCCCGAACTGTACCTCTCCACGCGTGACGATCCGCGGCAGCGGATCTGGACAGCTCAACCCATTCCCTTCGCCAACGACGGAGACCGAATAACGAAGGTCCAAGAACCACCTGCATGTCTTGACGAACTGTGTCGAGCCAGCTTTTGAACTGACCTCCTCTTCAACGTCTCCAATGGGGCAACGGTTCCGGATCGAGGGCAGCAACACTGAGCTTCTGAGGTGGACGACGAAGCACATGCCCGAACCACCTCAGTCGTCTTTCTTGGATGGCCTGAGTTATCCTTGCGATGTTGTCGCAGCGTGTGCGGACTGTCTCACTTGAGACGAAATCGGTGAACTTCACTCGAAGGATGGTCCTCTAGCAGTGGTGATCAAATACCTCCAGTTTTCGCTCGTCCTCTACGCGCAAAGCCCAGCATGGACAACCGTAAAGAAGGACAGACCGGGCAGATGCACGGTGCACGCAAATCTTAGTGGCGATGGAGAGGTCGCGTCGGATCCAGGGGCATTTTCGAAGACCTGAGAAAAACCACCGGCCAGCATCAATTCGGGAGACACTGTCGTCCTTACACTGTGCATAAGGCAGCAGTCTCGCCCCGATGTATTTAAAACTGTCTACTTCAAGTTGACAACCATCAATTCCGAGGGGTGCCCTCCCCTGGTCAGGGATACAGCTTAAAATACTTTAGTCTTCCCAGCGTTTATGGATAAACCGACCGATTTAGCGACCTCGTTTACCCGTGCCACCATAGACTGCAGATCACCAAAACTTGAAGCACGTAATGCGATATCATCGGCATAGTCGATGACGGTTAGTCGGTATCCGGATGCAAACTCAACACCCTCACCTTCGTGTAGGGTCCTCCCGAGAATCCAGTCGATAGCGTAGTTGAACAGAATAAGCGACAGGATACAACCTTGTCGAACGCCAGACCGAATACCTAACGGTTTGGTTAGATGGTTGCGGACCGGGACTCTCGGAGTAGTGGAGCGATAATAGACCTTGATCATGGCGATTATTTTTGCTAGTACACCATTTAGCGTCACTATCCGCCACAGGGACTCACAAAGGACGGAATCGAACGCGGTGGCAAAGTCAACAAAACAGAGGGCTGTCGGTTGCTGGTAGCTATGGCGAAATTCGAGAATGCACCTTAGTGTGAATACCTGGTCCGCACATCCACGTCCAGCACGAAATATGGCTTGGTGGGGCCCTGTCTTTGAGTCGCGCGCAGTCCGAAATCCCTGAGTAGGAAAATAGCGAAGAGTTTCGCAGCAACGTCGATGTGGCTTATGTCGCGGTAGTTCGCGCATCCTTCCATTTCTCCCTTCTTGAGGATAAGAACAAGAATGCCTAAGCCCCAGTCATCAGGAATAACCTCGTCTCTTCACGCTCGTTCAGTCACCTCATGGAGCTAGGGCGCCAGAGTGTTGACACGAGACTTTTGGATTTCAGCGGGTATACCGTCCTCTCCAAGGGCCTTCTTGTTGCGTAACTTTCGTATGGCATCGGCGACTTCTTCCTCGGAGGGGGGATCGCATGGCACTGCATAGGTGACAGAGGGAAGAAACTGCGTTGAAAATGAGATCAAGGGCGTGGTGGATTGGGTATGGAAGTTGAGATGGTGCTCGAAGTGCTCACGCCAGCGCCCGACTTTGTCTGAGTTGTCAGCAATAAAGCCGCCGTTCACGTCGCAAACAGAGTCACTCAGTGTTGAGGGCTTACCGCTAACTTGGCGGATAAGGTAGTAGAATGTTCGAGGCTTGTTCCATGGAGACCCAATATTGCTTCCGGTCATACCTGCCCGATTTTGCCGTCATCTTCTGAAGTTGGCGGAAGCAGTCATCGTCACGGGACCTGGCTCGAGCCACCTGAGCAGACAACCGCAAGGTTCTTCCGCTGATCCAGTCACTGCGGCGTCGCTGGGTGTATCCAAGGATTTTCTTAGCTTCCCCATAGACTGATGTTTTTAGTGAACACCTTCTCCGTCGGGTCGGGTCGTAAAACAGGTCCGGATTTCTCTGCTCAGAGCGTCAGCAGTACTGGTTTGCCGGATTTTCGCGACCTCGAGGCGCCTAGGACGTAGCATTTTTGGCGCCGATGAGAGATGAACTTTCAAGCGTGTACGAACGAGGACATGGTCGGACATATGGGCGTTACCAGTGTCGGCATCACGCACTGATCTGCTATCGTGAACCCAGCTACGGAACCTTGCAACTGCGAGCAAAAGGTCTCTTTATTGCTCTGTTTGGCAGCTGAAGTTGGTGCGTACACAGAGAAGACAGAGATGTTCGTAAAGTGACCTCTCAGACTGCACGTTGCAATCTGTAAACCCTACCAACTTGGAGCCTACCATTAGTCTCTAATCTTATTAAGGTCGAAAGGACTATGACCAAAATATGCAAGTAGTGAAAATAATCATCCCCCTGCCTAAGCTGCTAGCGAAGGCTAACAATCACTACCGGCTATTAAATAAATTACAATTAAAAAGTCAAAGTGGCGGACATATGTACCTGGTAATTCACCGCCAGACCAATACAATTACATGGAGATAGAGAATATGAGTCGATAACAAGGATTGCGGGTGTCTGAGGAGGTAAGAGTTAGTCAAAATCCTTGTTCCCGCACGGCCCTAATCCACATCTCCCGGGGTTCGACCTAAAGACGTCTTCCCATACTATTTGTGCTTGGTACGACTGCGATCATGCCTGGTCTAGCCGGCCTCGATGATGTCTCAAACTGTACCTCTCCACGCGTGACGATCATCTGTAGCAGTTTTGGACAGTTCAACCTACCCTCTTCACCAACGACGGAGACCGAATACCGAAGGTCCGAAAACCACCTCCATGTCTTAGCGGACTGCGTCGACGCAGGCTTTGAATTGACCCCCTCTTCGACGTCTCCAATGGGGCAACGGTGCCGGATCGAGGGCAGTAACACTGATCTTCTGAGGTGGACGACGAAGAGCATGTAAAAACCACCTCAGTCGTATAAGAAGACCGAATTTCTCTACTAAGGGCCTCAGAAGTGCTGGAGTGCTGGACATTTGTGACATCAAGGCGTCTAGTACGTGGCATTTTGGCGCGCATGAGAGGTGAACTTTCAAGCGTGGTCCGACCCATGGGTGTTACCAGTCTCGGCAAAACGCATCGATCTGCTATCGTGAAACCAGCTAAGGAATCTTGAGCTGACTGGTTTGTAGTCAGTCCGACTGGCCGTATGGCTGTCGTTTGAATACCAGGTCAGCAGATGTTTTGTGCTCTGCTGGAAGCATCTGTTAGTGACAAGCTGTCGGTTCTGATCAGCAAAGCTCAGCAATCTCTTGCCAGTTTCACCTTGCGCACTACGCTCAAAGCGGCCAAGAAGATGACTGTGGCGTCGCCAGATCTACTTCGACCATTCCAATCCCCGGCAACAATCAGCAGATCGCAGCAAGGCAGTCTTTCAACTAACGCTTGCAACTGCGAGCAAGAGGTCTCTTTATTGCTCTGTTTGGCAGCTGAAGTTGGTGCGTACACAGAGATGTTTGTAAAGTGACCTCTCAGTTGCATGTAGGCAGTCCGGTCATTGACTGGTTCCCAAACAAGTATGGCGAGGTGCGGTTGTGGCGAGAGGGCGATAGTCACACAATGTCTACCAGAAGAGTCTCACGGGCTGCTTTGGTACAGGATGAAGTGTGATTCGACTCCAGAGATCTTTATTTCTCGACAGCCTGCGTCAGGAAGTCGAACTTCAGACAGTAGACATCCAGGTTATACTGATTAAGGCTTTGCGCGGCCAGACTTTGGGTAACGGGATCCAGGAACGTTCGCACATTCCAGTATCCAATACCAAGAGTCCGCCCCCAATTGGGTAGTCTAGTCCACATACTTTTAGCCCTTACCACTGGACCAGGATTGCGGAGCGTGTCGGTTGCCGTGGACGCCGTAGCATGGGTCGTAATATTTTACTTGGACATATTTCGTGAGGTTTCCTGGAATTTCGGATAGAGACGAGACCCCAACAGCCGCTCGGCTGTCTCCTCTAGCGCTTTGGCTTAAAAGCCTAACCACAAGGCAGCGGGGCAAGCAAACTTATTGGATGGACGTTTACAGTCGCCATGTCGTAATGCCGTCATCGGGCTTTGCGGCTTTTTATAAGGTTTTCAGTGTGCTAGATCTCAGCCCTCCGCATCCTGTTAGCACTGCCGCTGCCGGTCCGCGACTACTTATTCGTAAGACCCCGGAGTCTGCTTATTTCGCAGCTAACCTTCACTGAAGGTCGTCCCACTATCCGCCACCTGTTGACGCGCCGGGTAGCCAGCAGCTAAGCTAACGCTGGCATGCGTTATCATCATGGATGGAGTCAGATGCGATGGAAACATCCACCAAAACTGTGAGGTAGGGCTGCGGATGGCAGTGGAAGAATTCAGGGATTCGACGAGCTGAGAACATATTCTGTCAGGCTTCCGTTTGAATGAATCCAGCACCATGTAGAGGGCGGAATGCTGACTGCGGGCTTGAGCTAGTGGATGTACCAAGGTGACCGGAGTTAATTTTTTAGTGCAATTTTCCTTCACACTGTTTAGTCGAAACGTCCCAAAATCATCAGATGAATCGGAAGAGCAGCGAATAAAACAATGAGTTGTTGAAGAAGGCTCGTAAGGGAGTACGACGCGTTCATGTGTTCAGAAGACGAAATCGCCTCGGAGTGTTATAGCGATATGACAGCCGGACACCCGTCCCCCAAGGAACGACCGTGGAGCCCTACGCACACGCCGACTGAACAATGCGGTGCAACCAAGGTGAGAGTTAAATCGCTCACGAAGGGCCCGATGGCAGTTCATGGCTTCGATGAAGTATCCAAATAAAAACCTGAGCGGACGGACGGAAAACGCATCTAAAGAACAAGTCGAGTGCACAAAGCTCTGAACGCCTCGTTTCAAGCGACGGCCTGCAGCAGATGGCGGCCATCAGAGACGCGCCGTGCCCACTGTGGAATATTCTGCATTTTACTTGAGCGATCAGAGAACTGACGCTACACGTTTTTGTATTTTTGGCGAATATGCAGACAAACGAAATTTTCTACTCTGCCGCTGGTGAGGGTTGGGGCATAGAGCCCTCAAGGTGGGGTCATAGAGGTTTCTAGTGTATGCCTGGGCATACGTGGGTGAATGGTTTGGACGATGGCCTTCTGCTACATCATCTACCGAGTCCAGTATAATCACCAAATAGCCTGGATCGCGATTTCCACTCGTATGCGTGAAGGAGAAAAGACAGAAGCAAAACAAATGCTCATTCAATGCGTAGTCTCCTCACTATACCGAAACAGTGAGAAGTAAGTCATTATGACGAGACAAACCACGGTTTGGGAGGTTTCCATGTTGTTGCTACCATCTGCTCCAGAGTCGATTGTAAGGGCACCTCAGAATGAGATTTATGTCAATTCTCGGGACCTTACGCCTGTCGACATATTGCACGAACAGGCACGGCATGTTTTGAATAATTCATATTGACGCAACGCTGAAAAACTCGGCGGGATTCGAACCCACGCAGTAAGCGGGAGGCTTTAGTACAGCCAACGCTCTTACCACGTGAGCTACGAGGCCCCGCCGGACGACTCGAGTTTAATCACATTTGGGTCAAGTTACCCGCCCGACCTACTGCAACGTCTGGAATCCACCAAATATGATACAGTAAGTTGATTGCCCAAGCAGAATTTCCCAAGTAATTCACCTAGAACCCACCAGATGACTACCAGGCTCACGTTGGCTGTACTAAAGCCTTCCCCTTACTGCATGGGTTCGAATCCCACCGAGGCGCCGAGTTTTTCACAGTTGGGTCAGTATGAATGAGAAGTAGGTCATCATGACGAGAGAAACCACGGGTTGGGACGTTTCCATGTTGTTGCTACCATCTGCTCCAGGGTCCGATTGTAGGGGCTCCTCAGAATGAGATTTATGCAAATTCCCGGGAGAACCGGGACCTTACGTCTGTCGACTTATTGCACGAACAGGCACGGCATGTTTTGACAGAAGGGGGACAAGATATAAATATTCTGCTAGTTGACATCCAGGCGGTGGGAGGCGCAGAGGCCCGCAGCTAGCGAACGGTGGATGGTACAACCGAGAATCGGGCTCCTTCAACCCGGCTGCCCATTCTGGCCTCGCAGAAGAATTCGTGCGGCTTGGGGCTGCGGTCATTTGCGCAGGCAGCCTACCGACGCCCAGTGGACAGCTTCGGCGTTTCGTCCTCACAGGCGCAGTCAATCTGTAAGACTTAACAGGCTGCAAATGCGTGCACCCAAAAGATACTAGAATTCGGATTAAGACAGCTAGAGGTCGTTCTCTCCAAAAGACCCTTTTCAGACTTTAAGACATCAAA